GGCTAATTCAGGCACAAGCTAATTTATTATTACTGGCCCAAATCACCTACTTTTTTTTTTTTTTTCCCCTTGCTGTGCAGGCCAATATCCACAACCGCACTGACGCCTCGAGTAGTGCGAACGGTTTCACTAGTAGCTGGTGGGGAGCCCAGTTTTTCTCAGCCACAACCCTGGGAGACTGGGATTTATGAGGTGTAGTAATCCAAACACCTCGAGTAGATTCCAGCCTTTAAAAATCTGCATCTCGTAAAAAAATTCCTTCAATTTTCCCTATTATAAGCCGAGGAAACAAATCTCCTGAGCTCTTCGGGGACGAGCTCTTTTCCAAATAACACAGACACCGCCAGCTCCCCACGCTTGAGCCCTAACTGGGCAACACACAACCCAGGTATGAAGGGTCAGAACAGACTTGACGCCGTCCGCCTCGCCTTTACAGAAGCCGCGCGCGGTCGGGACGCCCCACAGTTCAACTTCCGGCCACAAAGTGAGAGGATGTTTTCCTTCTGGTCACGCCCCCCTAGCCACGCCCGCCACGCCCCCCGCCTTCCCAGCCCGAGCTCCCGCAGACTGGCGCGCAGGAGGGGCGGAGCCCCGTGGGGGCCTCTGCGCCTTTCGGCTTCACCCGGCCGCGCGCAGGCCCGCCCCGAGCCAGCGGATTGTGCGGTGGCGCGCGCGCGCGCGCGGTGCCCTCCCCGTGACGTGCCTGGCCGAGGCCGCGCAAGGGCGCTGTTGCTGCCAGTGCCGCTGTCATGGCGTCCGAGGCGCTGGCTGAAGAGAACCCGCCGCGGTCTCCTTAGAGCAAGGGGCTGGCGGCTGGGTATGGAGAGCGGCCCCGGGAGCCTGCAGCCGCTAGAACACAGGGTGGCCGCCGAGCCAGCGCTAGGGACAGGTTCTCCGCAGGAAGGGCAACCGGAGACCAGGCTCGCCGCTGGGGATGGTCCTGGAGTATGGGCGACGGAGAACAGCGTCGGGAATGGGCAGGGGGCGGCGGCCGCCGGGAGGAGCCTTTTGGACTCCGTTTCTCCTGCCAGCTCTCCTCAGGTTCCCGGACCCTGCAGCTCTTGCCCGGGCTTGGACTTAAAGGAGAGTGATTTGGAGAATCCTGCTGCCCAGAAGACGCCTCCGAGAGGGCAGTACAAGGTGACCGCCTCCCCGGAGACAGCCGAGGCCGGAGCGGACCATGGATCGGGTCCGGCCGGAGACGCCGGCCCCCGCCCAGATCCCGCCGGCACCTGCGGGGCAGAGTTGGCGGCCGCCGGGTCCGAGGAGCCCAGCAGCGCCGGCGGCCTCAGCAGCAGTTGCAGCGACCCGAGCCCTCCTGGGGAATCGCCGAGCCTGGACTCCCTGGAGTCGTTCTCTAACCTGCATTCTTTCCCCAGCAGCTCTGAGTTTAATAGTGAGGAGGGAGCTGAGAACAGGGTCCCCGGGGAGGAGGAGGAGGAGGAGGGCGCCGGCGCGGGCGCGGCGGTGTTGCCTGGGGCAGTGCCTCTGTGCCGCGAAGAGGAGGAGGAGGGGGAGGAAGCTCAGGTACTGGCGGCCTCCAAGGAACGCTTCCCGGGACAGTCTGTCTATCACATCAAGTGGATCCAGTGGAAGGAAGAGAACACACCCATCATCACTCAGAATGAGAACGGACCCTGCCCTTTGCTGGCTATTCTCAATGTTTTGCTTCTGGCCTGGAAGGTACATTCTGCAGCTTTCTTATTTCCTACCGTTTTTGGGGAGGGGGAAACGGGGAGAAGAATCTGCTGCATGTCAGCTGACAGCTTCCTCTTTTCTTTCCTCATTCACCCGTATTCTGTTCCCTTGAAATTCATTATGGGACTCCTTTGTCCAAAGAATATTCTTGTATGTTATTTCGCAAAGATTGCCAGCAACCCCAGGTCTCTCTAGTGTTTAAATAAGAGTTCAGCCTGATGTACTTAAAAACGACTAGGACTTACAACATCCTAAATCCTAGGATTATTTTTTTAACTATATTTTTCTACGTTTCCTTCTTACTGACCTTGTCCAATTTGCAAAAGAGTGAAGAACTGGGGAAAATTATCTTCAGAAGTTACCATCAGTTCGTGTTATCAAGAAGGAAGTTTTGATGGTTATGTTTAGTCGATTTTCTAACTAATACTTGTGACATTTCGTTGTAGATACTAAGGAAATGGTGACAGGGAAGATGTGGCCCCTTTGACAAATTCCATTTAAGGGAAAGCATTGGTCTGAGTCCAATTACCATAACTTCTTGGTTTTCAAAGATTGTTTTCATTTTATGCTTGATTTTTACTTTGGCTCTGCTTAAGTAGTTTGGCATTATTACTAGTAACCTCGCATCAGAATATGTTAAGGGAACTAAAACTATAATTAGTAAAATAAGGAAAGACATATTCGAGGTAAAGGAACAAAAAAAAAAAGGAAGGGCTCTTCGAAACTTAATTATATCAAGGACTCAATGAGTTATGTATAATTGAAATGTCTTACCCAAGCTTGCAGTTTTAGGGTGCTGAGAAGAAGCGTCTTATAGCACCCATTTTATTTCCAAATTGGTAATAATACCTGTTGATAAAATGTTTCCTAGAAGAAGAAAAAAACCTGGATTATTCTGACCGGTTAGGAAGAAAATCAAGTAAAGGGAATAGTATTTATTATGTGCCTTCATTTTCCTGTTACTAGCAAGGGCTGATGCAAAAGAAGTAAGATTAGAAACCTTAGAAGTATCCGGTACGTAAGGGCACTCAAGTGTTTGTTGGAGGCTCTGCCTGCTTTTGAAGAGCTGTTAAGCCATTTGGGGTTGCATCATTGACTTACTTGAAATTATTAAAGGACAGTGCAAGACAAAACACTGTAAGTACATAGAAATATAAATATGTTTATATAAATACAAATTTTTAAGTTATAGAAAACAGATGGAAATGTACTAGATATTCCAAAAGGGGAAATTTTTCTTTGTTTTGGCATAGTCCCAGAGAGCTTCATGGAATTTGTGGTCTTGAACCAAGCTTTTAAGGAAAAGTAGAATTTAAAAGAATAGGGAAATGGAATCCTGGGAGAGGGAAGGTTGTAAACAAAAGGGATGAAAATAGAATGGATAGAGTGTGTGTGTGTGTGTTTGGATGACAGAAGTGGTAAATTCATACTGGTGAATAATAAAAAAATAAGATTGAAAAGGTGAAGAGCCACTTGATGAAGGCCCCTTAGGGTCAGAGTCTGGAGTTAGACTTGATATATGGGCCAAAATCCCCAGGTTTTTTTTTTTTTTTTTTTTTTTTTTTTGGAAGGAATAACAGCTTCCTTTGGGCTTTTCTCTTCTCTTAGTTTCCATACAGTACTGCAGAAGTTCGGAGGAGCTCCTTCCCCTGGTCTGGAATTTTGGGAGATAGATGAGCATTTAATTGTCTCTTTCAAAGACGTGGCCTGATGGAATAATCAAACATTTGAGTTCCCATTATGGGTGAGGTACTAGAAATACAAAAACAAGATGTAAGTCTGCCCTTCTGTAGCTCACTATTAGTGGGGAGACAGATGTATAAATAATTACAATGCAATGTGATAAGTTCTAACTGTGCTTTGGAATTATAGAGAAAAGAGTAACAGGATGGAATGTGTCAAGGGAAAGCTTTATAGAAGAGGTAACCTAGGAACTGGGTCTAAAGGATGAGTGAGAAGGCCTTTCAGGCAGAGGGAATAGTGTCTTCAAAGATGGTGAAGCAGAAAAAGATTTGTTCTCTTTCCTGATTCCTACCTTGATTGGGAATGCAGAGGAAGAGGGGAAGGAAATGGCAGTGGCAGAACATAAAATTGATTGGTTGGGTTAGACTGTTAAAGAGCAGGCATGCTAATTAGTTTAGAGGGTATTTTATAAATCTGTGGCTTTTAGCCTTCTTTCTGCCTCCAGGCTATGGCTACACACAAATGTTACTCATCTGTAAGCATCAATAGGGAGACAGATAAAGAGATGCAAGGTCTGATAAAGTGGTGTTCTCTAAGTGAGCCGGGGGGCCAGATGTCAGATCTGTTTTCATAATAATACTAAGATGTTATTTGTCTTTTCATTCTCATTCTTTCACAAGTGTCAGTGGAGTTTTCCAGGTTCTGTGATGTGTGGTGACATCATTCCTCTGACAGGAATGTGTGCTTATGTATTCTTTGGTTTAAAAATTTTCTCCTTTTTCATTTCTAGTATGGTAAGTATGAGTAGATAGAACCAACATGGACAAAAGCTCTTTGGAGGACTGTAATTTTTAGGCTGTAATGGTCCTGACACTAAAAGGTCTGAGAAATACTACAGTAAAGAAAAATAATAAATACATTATAAAAGTAGCTGTCAGATTTCAGAAGACCCATTGCTGGTGCTGTTTACACTTTATATTTAGCTGATAATAGGGAACTATTAAAAATTACTGGACAGAGGAATAAGGTGATAAAAGTGGTCTTGTTTGAGATTAGACTAAGGGTAAGATTGTAACAGGAAGAATGGATAAGGATAACCTTTTTGGATGGGGAATTTTCTGCCCCTTCTCTTGATAAAGATAATGTTGCAGCCTAAATGATGAACTGATCACTAACCGGACATAGGAAATGAAGGAGACAACCCCACCTTTTCTAATCTGGTTAATAGAGATTGATTGGGTAATTCAAAAGATAGAGAATATGTTTTAGGTGGAAGATGTCAAAGTTTGGTTGTGTCAAGTTGGAAATGTCTGATAGGGGACATGATAATATAAATATCCTCATGCCTCTGAAAGCATAGAGTAGGTCTCCAGGAAGAGGTCAAATTATAGAGGAAAACTGAATAGGGGAATTATTGCATAGATATAAGTATGGTAGCTTACTTGCCATAAGTATGAGAATAAATGAATACTCCTTAAGGAGAGGTGAACAATAATTCTCAACTTTTTTCCACCCCAATATATGTGGTGAACTACAAATTGCCAGCTTAATTCCTTCCTGTAATTCCACCCTGTAATTCCCCATGCCCTATTCAGTAGATATAGAAACAACAGAGGAACAAAGATTAAACTTGGTGTGGAAAAGGGCATGCTAAGCATTAAGGGTGAGAGAGTGTAAAAGAAACTAGTATAGGCATAATTTAAGCTATGATGGAGAACTGGAAGTAGGACAGTGTCGTGATAGTAGTCTTGGAGAAGAGAGACTGTAATAAAGCAGTCAGTTATCATTGTCAAGTGCAAAAGCATCAAGGGGCTATTGGAATAGGAAAGATTTTTGCCAAAAAAGGACAGGTGTGAGGACAAGGTTGATGAAAGTTAGGATAAAATGACTCCTTACAAGTTCTCTTCAGAGGGAAGGAACAGCAATCTCATTTTCTGAAGTAATGGAAGGAATGGGACAAAGAAGATAGAGAGAAAAGGTCATGTTAAGAGAAGTAGGGGGACCTGAGTGGCTCAATCAGTTGAGCTGCTGACCCTTGGTTTTGGTCATGATTTTAGGGTACTGTGATTGAGGGCCTGCATTTTTGAGCTCCACCCTTAGCAGAGAGTCTGCCTGTGGATTCTCTCTCTCCCTCTCCCTTTGCCCTTTGCCCCTTGCTCAGGCACACTCTCTATAAAATAAATGAATTTAAATTTATTCATTAAATTTAATTCAAGCTCAAATTTCTAATTCTGTTTCACTGACAGCAGGGAAACTTACCTAAATTTATGCTTTGGAATAAATTTCATTTTGCTTCTTTACTTTACACTATACTTGTTTTTTTTAATAATTTTTCTTTAGTCTTTTATCTATTGAAAACAATGCCATCTATAGGTATATTTGAGGTTGTGACCCATTTATTTAGAAGTGTTTAAGGGTGCCTGACTGACTCAGTCAGTAGGTAATGCAACTCTTGATCTTGGGGTTGTGAGTTCAAGCCCCACATAAGGTATAGAGAGCACTTAAAAATAAAATCTTAAGGGGCACCCGGGTGGCTCAGATGGTTAAGCGTCTGCCTTTGGCTCAGGGTCATCCTGGGATCAAGCGCTACCCCTCCTCCATGGGGCTCCCTGCTCAGTGAGGAGTCTTCTTCTCTTTCTTCCTCTGACCCTCCCCACTGCTTGTGATCCCACTTGTGTACTCTCTCAAATGAATAAAGAAAAAAACTCAAAAATCTCTAAATAAATACATAAAAAATTTTAAAGAAAAGTAGTACTTTTTTTAAAATGATTTTTTCTTTATTCATTTGAGAGAGAAAGAGAGCAAGCAAGGGTAGGGCAGGGGGAGAGGGAGAGAGAATCCCAAGCAGACTCCCCATTGAACAGGGAACCTGGAGTGGGGCTCAGTCCTAGGACACTGAGGTATCATGACCTGAGCCAAAACCAAGAGTCAAATGCTCACCAGACTGAGCCACCTAGGCACCCCATATTACTTTAGTAATAGAGGGAATCCCTACTTTGTCATACTTTTTTCTTTTTCTTTTAATGATTTTATTTATTTATTTGAAAGGGAGAGCAGAGCAAGGGAGAGAGCACACAAGTGGAGGGGAGAGGCAGAGAGAGGGAAAAGCAGGCTCTCTCCTTAAGCAGGGAACCTGATGTGGGGCTCTAGCCCAAGACCCTAGGATCATGACCTGAGCTAAAGGCAGATGCTTAACCAACTGAGCCACTCAGGAGCCCATACATATGTTTTCTTTTAGAAAGAATGTTATAGGTTCTGAGGCTCAAACACTGAAAAGTAAACTTAAATACATTGTGACTGAGGACAGATAGTTTTGTAATAACTAATGATTATGTATCTAATCACTATGTAGCATTTTAGTAGAAGAATGAATATACTGTTCTGAATCAGGATGCTGGAAGCACATCTCCATAGCCGTTTTGGGTAGGCAATTCTTCTTCTAGTTTTTCTTTGCTTAATAGAGACCATCTCCTACTCCCCAAGTCAAGGGAGGAATGCCAGGATTCTGAAGCAAGATTTTTTTTTTTTTAATATTAAGCTGGTTTCTCCAGACATTAAACCTAGAAAATGAAAAATAAGGATTGATATATTTGATGCTATAAAAAATGAAAAAGCTGAGGGGCATCTGGGTGACTCAGTCAGTTGAGCTATAACTCTTGACTTCAGCTCAAGTCATGAGCTTGGAGTCATGAGATCAAGCCCAGCGCGGAGTGTGGAGTCTGCTTAAGATTCTCTTCCTCTCTTTCTGCACCACAGCCCCCATGCATGCTCTTGTTTAAAAAAAATTAAATAAATAAATAAAAGCAGAAGGTTAAAAAAAAATAACAAAATTACTCCTCCTTTCCCCCCCAAAAAACCCCACCAGGAACTAAACCAAAACACGCTATAGGCCGAGGGAACTATTTACCAGATTATGTGTCCATTTGTTAATTTCTTCATTTATAAAGAGCCCTTATAAATTAGAAGAGATGAGCAACTCAGTAGCAAAATGAGCAAAAGCCATTACCAGAAAATTCAGAGAAGTACAAATGGACATGATCTCTCTCATTACCACTTGCCGAGTAAGACCATGGAGGTAAATGTCTTGCCAAGCAATGAGTTTTTACTCTAGTTCTCCCTCCTTCCTTGACAGCTTTTCTCATACCCTTTTCAGATACCTATCCTTGCTTCGGACTTGGTTTTACTTTCTTTTCTTTTAATTTTTTTTTTTTTAAGATTTTATTTATTTGACATAGAGAAAGAGCGCAAGCACAAGTAGGGGAAGTGCAGAGGGAGAAGGAGAAGCAGACTCCCCACTGAGCAGGGATCCTGTAGTGGGGCTTGATCTCAGGACTCTGGGATCATGACCTGAGCTGAAGGCAGGTGCTTAACTGACTAAGCCACCCAGGCCCCAGGTTTCTTTTTTCTTAAACTTCCTGACTTGTAAGAACATTGCAATCACTCAATTTTCTCTCATTTCCCTTTTCTTTATGTAGGCACAAAGCTCTTTCAAGGCTTTCCAAGTGTGTTTATTCCTTGTAAAAGTGGAAAAACAGATGGTGAGCCAAAGATTCCACTTTAGCCTCTGCCCACTTTTTTTTTTTTTTAATATAGATCTTGTAAGAAGAGAATAATAACTTCACACAGAGGTGTTTTGTTTACACAATAGATGCAAGTAACACTTATGAGGCTTGCATTTTCAGTCTCTCAAGCATTAGGATTGGTATAGTATCTCTGGATTTGTGAGATAAAGTGAATGGATACAGGCTGATGACAGTATGAATAATGCTGGTGGCTGTAGAAGGTTTGTTCTGTAGGTAATAGCTTGTCCTATTAATGTTGGGTTCATGGGGCGCCTGGGTGGCTCAGTTGTTAAGTGTCTGCCTTCTGCTCAGGTCATGATCCCAGGGTCCTGGGATTGAGCCCCTCATTGGGCTTTCTGTTCCATGGGAAGCCTGCTTCCCCCTCTCCCACTCCCTCTGCTTGTGTTCCCTCTCTCGCTGTATCTCTCTCTGTCAAATAAATAAATTAAAAAAGAAATCTTTAATGTTGGGTTCATTTTCTCCTTTTTCCTTGGTCTGAGTGGGTAACTTTCCCATTGCCTTGTCTATGTTGAGTCCCAGATAAAGAACATTTGAGCATAGATGGCACCAACAATCATAGAGCTTTGAAAACTAATAGTACACAGTTATTTTTATAACATGCATTATACGCATTTCTTTTTAATTTTCTTAATCCCATCACAAAGATCCTTAGGTAAATATAGTTCCTATTTTACATATATACAAAACTGAGGTGCATAAAGTTTAAATAACTTGCCTAACTTAAGATTATCACCCACTCCAGAACTTAAGCTATTACTTGGGATATTTGGTTTGGAAGTTAAAATTCAAGATGCCAGCACATCTGTTGGACAATAGGTCTGGAACAAAGCAGGTTGGAAGAACCAGTGATAAAGTCAGAGAAGCAGAAATAGCCTTCTTGATTCCTTAGAACAAATCCTGAGGATCTGGTACCAGTTGCTCTTCATACAGACTCTGTCCATTTTTAGCTCCCTATACTTTATCCCATGTCCTCTGAATTATCTGACACTTCCAGCTTCTGGATGTGAATGAGCTGGAGTGAATGAGCTTGCCTTTCCAGTCATAGTTTATTAAATACATTCTTTGATATTTTCATTAATTAGTAACTTCTATCTCTACTACCATTACCCTAGTTCAAGCTACCTTCCTCTCATCTGGATTACTTCAGTAGCCTTCACATTGGTCCCTTGCCTCACCCTATTCCCACCACCTTTTCAAGCAACTAATGCACAAGTTTTGTTGTCAGTTATTCTTGGGGTAGATTTTTCAGTAGCTAGGCTTTCTGAACTTCTTAAATATAAGTCCACTGTAACATTCTTCATTGCTCTGAAACTCTTGAATTGCATGTAAAATAGGACATCCTTGAAAATCTAATATATGTGAATGTTTCTGCAGTTTCTGATGGTTTTAAATAGTTTTATTTATTTTTTTAGGAGGGGGCAGAGTGAGAGGTAGAGAATCTTTTTTTTTTTTTTTTTTTAAAGATTTTATTTCTTTATTTGGCAGACAGAGATCACAAGTAGGCAGAGAGGCAGGCAGAGAGAGAGGAAGGGAAGTAGGCTCCCTGCGAGCAGAGAGCCCAATGCAGGGCTCGGTCCCAGGACCCTGGAACCATGACCTGAGCCGAAGGCAGAGGCTTTAACCCACTGAGCCACCCAGGTGCCCCGGTTTTAAATAGTTTTAAATACGACTTGGTATTACTCTGAGGGTAGGGTCTAAATTAATGGTAAAGATTGATGGTGAATGTGATTCAAATTGACTTTTCTAAGTTGAAGATTGTCTCTTATAAATTTTTCCTGACTTTGAATACTGATAAGAAGCAGGGAGATTTACTAAAAAATCTGAGTTTTGGTATTTTTAAGTATATTATTCTTAATTAATAATAAATGAATTATTTTTAATAATAAATGATAAATAATAAATGAATGATACATATAAAAAGTTAGAATATGAAGATGATGTGTAATTTGCTGGAGCCAGAATTAAGGCATGTTGAAAGGATCCTTAAGTTTTTTAGTCTTTATTTGAAAGAGGTTATATTTCTTCCCTTTGATTCCCATTAATACTTCTAATATTTTAAAAAATAATTTCTTTACAATTTTGACTTAAAAAATCATGAATGCTATATGATTTAGTGTATATTTAAAATTAGAAGAGCACCTGGCTGGCTCAGTCCATAAAGCGTGTGACTCTTGATCTTGGGGTCAAGAGTTTGAGACCCATGTTTGGGTGTAGAGATTACTTAAAATAAATTTTTTTATAATTAGTGAAATTTGAACTAAGAGGAAAATGTATTATGTAGTTGGTCCACTTTACCATAAGGAATGCAGAAATAGATTGTAACACAAAAATCAAATAATTCATATACCGATTAAAAATGGTTGCCTCCTGAATTTCAACTCAACTTTGTTTTAATGTCAAACTAAACCTCATAGTTCTGAAGCAGACATCATTTCCTTCTACAAACTTAACTTCCCTTACCAAATTTCTCATTTGTATGTATTATATGAATCTTAGTTTTTAGAATCTCCTGAGTCTTAAGAGTCAACCTCAGTTACTCTTTCCCCATTTTCCTCCACTTTTCTTTCTTTCTTATTCTTTTTTTTTTCAAGATTTATTTATTTATTCGTGAGAGAGAGAGAATCTTCAAGCAGACTCCTCCCTGAACACGGATCCCATCACACTCGATCTCATGACCCATGAGATCATGACCTGAGCCAAAATCAGGAGTTGGATGACGCTTAACCTACTGAGCCACCCAGGCACCCCTCATCCTCCACTTTTCATTGGTCACAAAGTTGTGTCAGTTCCTCATTTAAAATATATTTCAGATGATGTTTTAAATAAGACTGTGTTGAAAGTGTTTTGCTATAAAATCTGTAAATACTGACATAATGGAGAGGGTAATTGGCTTTGGAGTTCAATCTCAGTTCACATCATAGCTTTGCTACTTTGGGCAAATTAACTTTTCAGTGCATTAGTTTATTCTTTGAATGAAGGTTATGAAATCTCCATAGGATTATTATGGATTAAGGGTAACATGCAAACTGGATAACAGTTAGTTCAATATATTAAAAATTTTTTTCTGACTTTCCTAAAGAGCAAAGATTGGCAAACATTGATTTTTTAATCTTCTCAAGTAACTCTCCAACTTATAGAGGTGTTATAATTCTAACTGTGTATTTCTGACTTTTTATTGGTATTCCAGTTGAATATTTAATAATATTCTTTGGTCATTTTTGTACTTAGCATCATCTATATAAACTGCTTATTTCTTAGTTATTACCGGGTCTCCTGCATTTCTCTACCCCTCTCAGAATATCAAAATCATAGGTATTAAAATCTTGGCATATCACTCTTAAGATGTTTTCCATTCTTGTTTAAGATTTTATTAATACTTTACGTGGAAGATTTTTTAAAATTTATTTTTAATTTTTTAATTTTTAATTTTTTTTAAGATTTTATATATTCATGAGAAAGAGAGAGAGAGGCAGAAGGAGAAGCAGACTTCCCAAGGAGCAGGGAGCCCAGACGTGGGACTCGATCCCAGGACCCCAGGATCATGACCTGAGCCGAAGGCATATGCTTAACCATCTGAGCTACCCAGGCACCCTATTTTTAATTTTTTTAAATTAAAAAAAATTTTGATCTTGCTTGAGTCTATTCTCAAATACACTTCACTCTTCACATGACTAAGAATTACAGAATAATTTGGCTGAATTAATGAGGTTTTACCCTATAGTTGAATATTTGGAGTTGGAGTAGCTATTTCCTTTTGTTAATTTAAATATTATTGCTGTGCTTATGTTACTAATTTGCTCAGGAAAGCCAGTTAATTCAGTAAAATCTTTAGTTCTAGGAGAAGAAATTATTTTCCTAGACTCTATTTGGACTCTTAATTTGGAGCTATGTGTTATTATATACTGAGAAGCTTTGCTCATGTTTTAGGAAGAACATTTAAACTACTTATGAGAGTATCTTTCAGCTACTTTTATATACATTAAAGTATTCATGTACTTAAGAACAATATGTTTTAGATTATTACTAAAAGAAGACCACCTAAGAACCTAGGTCATACTTCATTTGATATTTTTTTCATTTTAAAATTTAAAATTGAGATTCAGACAAAATACCATACTTGGTAATTCTGTATTCTTAGGTAGCTATTCCCTAACCTGTTTTTTCTTTTATAAAATCTAAAGAGACAAAGGAGTGAAAGTCATAGGCTCATTAACAAAACCTTTGATGCTTGCTTTTGAGGTGATGGTGCTAGAGGAAAGCAAAAAGAAAATCAAGCTTTCAGGAAGATCATTTTGTGGTTTAAAAAAAAAAAAATAGATCTGTTGACAGCTCCACAGTATTATTGAGAAGTAGGCGTTCCTTCTCAATTTTGTTTGTTTGTCCTTAGTTTTAATGACTATCCGGAATATGTTATTGGCTAGGATTCAGGAAGTGAGTATTTCACTGAGTGTGCTTGTGAATAAGTCAGTTAAAATATTTGTATACTTGTTGTCCCACTTCTTAATCAGTATAGAGATACCATTTTCTTTTTCAAACATGAAGCAGTACATTGTAGGCAGTTGTTATTTGGAAATTTCAAGGCTACACCCTGAAATCATGTTTGTGGAAATCTAGGATTATAGTATGTTTTCCCCAAGTACTATACTTGTTAGTGCCTTTGTTATTTTGACAGAAATGCCACATTTGACAATTCTGTTAATTCTTATTTTGACAATTTTATAGTAGGATTGTTACTTTAACCAGAGTAGAGGTAAAGCTATCTGTGGAATTTACTGTTGAATATATTCTGACTGAACCTGTCTGGAATAAAAGGATATATAGTTTTGTTTTGTTTTTTTAAGATTTTACTTTATTTTATTTATTTGGAGACAGAGATCACAAGTAGGCGGAGAGGCAGGCAGAGAGAGAAGAGGAAGCAGGCTCCCCAACGAGCAGAGAGCCCAATGCGGGGCTCCATCCCAGGACTCTGGGATCATGACCTGAGCCAAAGGCAGAGGCTTAACCTACTGAGCCACCCAGGCACCCTGGATATATAGTTCTTATTTAAGAAACATTGTTAGGTATAAATGGGACTTTCTTTTTTTTTCTAAGCTTTTATTTATTTATTTGACAGAGATCACAAGTGGGCAGAGAGGCAGTGGGGAGAGGGGAGAAGCAGGCTCCCTGCTGAGCAGAGATCCTGGGATCATGACCTGAGCTGAAGGCAGAGGCTTAACCCACTGAGCCACCCAGGTGCCCCTAAATGGGACTTTCAGATTGTTCTGACAATTATTCAGAATATGAACACTTACAGTGAACATAAACTGCTGGTTTAAATAACAGACTTTAGTGCTACTGAAATAGCTTGATTAAATATTCTATAGTAACAGTTAAAATCATCTAAAGCAGGGATCAGCAAACTTTTCCTGTAAAGGATCACATAGTAAGTAAATATTTTAGGCCTTGTGGGCTCTATGATTTCTCTTGTAAAGATTCAACTCTGTTATAGTTGTGCAAAAACAGCCAAAACTATACATAACCAATGAGCGTGACTGTTCCAGTAAAACTTTATTTAGAAAAACAGGCAGGAGACCATAATATGCCAATGAATTTTAATTTAAAAATATACCCTATATTGGGGTGCCTGGGTGGCTCTGTGGGTTAAGCCTCTGCCTTTGGCTCAGGTCATGATCTCAGGGTCCTGGGATCAAGGCTGGCATTGGGAACTCTGCTCAGCAGGGAACCTGTTGCCCCTTTCTCTCTCTCTGCTTGCATCTCTGCCTACTTGTGATCTCTGTCTGTGAAATAAATTTTAAAATCTTTATATATATATATATATATATAAATACCTTATATGGGAACTCTCTACTTTCTGCTGTAAACCTAAAGCTGCTTTAAAAAAAATTCTGTTAAAATTTTTTGAAAAACATGACACAGGAAAAAAAATGACTTAGAATCAAATAATGTTCAAAACCTCCATGGCATCTCTTTGTTTTCACTGAGTGATAAATCTCCTGGATGACAAAATCATAAGCATTAATTGTCAGGTATGCTCTCAAAGGGTATCAGAATGTTCTGTTTTACAGAGATCTGTTTTAGAACTTATTTTATTCATTGATTAAAACAAAATATTGTGACATGCTATTACCACATTTGCTAACATAAACACCCAGAGCACCTTTTTCAACCCTTGGAGGAATTGCTGGAAAAATTGATGATTTAAATTATTTCCTTGGTTGAATAGAAGATAATTCTGAAAAATAACCCCCAGAGAATTTTAATTTTCTTTTTTAGGATTTTATTTATTTTATTTTTTTTAATTTATTTTATTTTTTTATTTTAATATTTTATATTTTAATAATTTATTTTATTTTTTTAAGATTTTATTTATTTATTTGACAGAGATCCCAGAACCCTGGGATCGTGACCTGAGCTGAAGGCAGAGGCTTTAACCCACTGAGCCACCCAGGTGCCCCTAAGATTTCATTTATTTATTGACAGAGAGAGAGAGAGAGTGAGAGAGGGAATACAAGCAAAAGGCGTGGGAGAGGGAGAAGTAGACCTCCTGCTCTAGCAGGGAGCCTGATGGGAGACTCAATCCCAGGAACCTGGGATCATGACCTGAGCAGAAGGCAGACACCCAATGACTGAGCCACCAATGTACCCCCTGGAGAATTTTAAATTGTTATTGTCCTCCTGTCATTGATATTTAATTACTTTGTTTGAGTTTCCATCCTATAGTATTTAATTTTCTTCTATGAATATACCACAGAGTATGCTTTTGAATAAGTAAGTTAAAATATTTATAACCATTGGCTGTAATATTTGTGTAACTCATCTGGCAATTCAATTGAAATGTTAATGTAAACTAATGTATTACAGCTCAATTAACTTTAGAAACTTAAATATGATTGTAATTATGTATCTAGTTTTAATCTTTTTATTGTGAACTATAACACATAGATTACATAAAACAAAGATGTATAGTTTGACAAGTTATTATAAAGTATATGTCAGTGAAACTACCATGCAAGTCAAGAAATAGAGCATTGCTAGCATCCTTTTTTTTTTTTTTTTAAGATTTATTTATTTGAGAGAGAAAGAGAGGCAGAGTGAGCAAGTGAGCACAGTGGGGTGGTAGAGGGGAAGAGAGAATCTCAGGCTGAGCACAGAGCCTGACGCGGGGTCCGATCCCACAACCCTGAAATGACGACCTTAGCTGAAACTAAGAGTCAGGCACTCCAACCAGCTGAGCCCCTGGGTACCCCACAGAAGGCTCTTATATGTCTCTTTCCAACTATAATTCCTTCCCTTACCCCTAGGGCTAACCATATTCTGATTTTTATAGTATCCATTTCCTTACTTTTTTTTATAATTTTATCAGCATGTGTGCAGCTGTAAACGATATAGTTCAATTTTGCCTGCTTTTAAACTTTGCAAGTGGAATCTTACACTGTGAATTCTTCAGTATATGACTAATACTTTTTTTTTTTTTTAAAGATTTTATTTATTTGAGAGAGAGCATGAACAGGGATGGGGCAGAGGGGGAGGGAGAAGCAGACTCCCCACTGAGAGGGAGCCCAAAGTGGGGCTCAATTCCAGGATTCTGGGATCATGACCCGAGCCAAGAGCAGATGCTTAACTTCTGAGCCACACAGGTGCTCCTGACTAATACTTTAATACTGTATTCATTATAGTCATTCAATAAAAATGGCCAAGGTAAACTGAAGTAATGAGATTGAGCCATGTTCAAACCTGTCTTCAGTAAAACTGCTCCATGGGTGACCTGTCACATGTTTGTTGACTCTTCCTGCCCTTCAACTGCTCTGTCATGTAGGACATTGTTGGAGGTGCCTAGTGACAGTTGTAGTGGGTGATGAAAGGGGTAGCACTTGGTTTTGAAAACAGATTTCTCATCGTCTCTGTGAGATCTTACATCATTCTGTAAATTTTATGGTGATAAGATTGACTTTGTCATATTTTATAAAGATTAGTTTTAAAGATTTAATAACAAATATTAATGTATATGCATAATAGATATATATGTACACATACATACTTATGTTTCTGACTGAAGAAACACTTTAATTACCTGAAACATTTGATTTTATAGAAAAAATACTTTGTTTTTCAGGTGAAACTTCCACCGATGATGGAAATCATAACTGCTGAACAGCTGATGGAATATTTAGGTTAGTGTTGCAAAGTGGATGATTTTATCTCTCTTTGAAAATGAAGTCTCCAAAGCACTATATTACCAAATTGCATTTTTCTGAAGTGCTATTATATAATCTAGTTTAAAATTATAATTTTGAATCTCGTAATTAAAAATTTGTGTCAGCATGTTACTGTTCTTGGGTGTTAAACCTTTCTGAGGACTTTTTCTAACCAGTGTTAAAATTCTGTAATATAAATAAGGAGACTGGTAACTTCCAGGAAAGAACAAGATACATATTAATTCCTAATAAATTGCAGAATGGGAAGTGGTACAGAAATTCTGACATTGCATGTGGAGAGTGTTAAAAAAAATACTGAGTAGACTTGAATTAAAGACCCAGGAGGTGACTTAGAACATCACTATCCAAAGTATGATTCATGGACCCATACCGGTTGATGAAGTGTTAGTTACCAATCTGCAGTGATATAGCGGTTTGTGCCAAAATGTAAGACATTTACATAAGCACACTGATTAGTTCATCTGAAGTTTTTCATAGCAAAGTTTTCTTGATGAAGGAGGCAGTGTCTTAAGTTGCAGTTTGTTTGCAGACCAACTGCTTTCAGTAGAACTTGTTTACAGAACAGGTAGCTATATATCACACTGAAGTCTCTTATAGTTTAGCAAATAGGAATTTACATATTTATACTGTTACCAAATAGGAAATCTTAATCCACATTCTTAGTTTTTTTAGTAATTAAATGTTTATTTTAAGAAAAATTTAAAAAAATTTTTTGGTTGGCTGATTAGTTTGTCTATGCCATTCCAGACTATAAGCTAGCTGATTTTTAATGAAATATAGTCTTAGTGAAGTAATGGAGATTGTAGCTTTTGGAAGACCCTTTTCTTTATGTAATTACTATCATTTAATCCTATTCACTGGTTAGGGAAATCTCATAGTGAAGGGTAGATTACTTTGAATACCCATCTATCTGGAAATAGAATTTCTATTTATACCTGTTTTAGTCTAGCTTGGTGATTCTTAAACTTTGTGAGTTCTAAATTATGTTTCATAATTGGGATCATAATTGGGAATTATGTTTCATGGGGAAAGCTAAAATATGCTTGGTGCGATTGATGAATAGCCAGTATGACTTCCAAGAAGTGTGCAAAGGAGATCACATTTGAGAGGTAATGGGGTCAAGTCATATATGGCCCTGTAGGCTATTTTTTTTTTTTTTAAGATTTTTATTTATTTATTTGACAGACAGAGATCACAAGTAGGCAGGGAGGCAGGCAGAGAGAGAGAGGGAAGCAGGCTCCCTGCCGAGCAGAGAGCCTGATGCAGGGCTTGATCCCAGGACCCTGGGATCATGACCTGAGCTGAAGGCAGAGGCTTTACCCTAATGAGCCACCCAGGTGCCCTGGCCCTGTAGGCTGTTATAGCAACTTGCCACGTTTGTGATTGAGCTTGGAAGCCATTAGAGGATTTTTAATAGAAGGCTGATGTGATCTGATTTTGAGTGTAACAAGAATTCTCTGGCTGAAACTAGAATTTAGGTAGGAAAGGACGAGCAGGGATATCAGGAAGCTATTACAACAAAAGATGCTATTATAACCGGCAAAAGAGGGTGGTGGCTTCAAACGAAGTAGTAGAAGTGGAGATTGTAAAATGTGGTCAGATTCTGGATATAGAGCTGACAGAATTTGCTGATCAGCTGAATGTAGAGTGAGAGTGGTTCACTCTGTGGTTTTTGGCTTGCACAACTGGAAGGACGGTGTTAACATCAGCTGAAACAGGAAAAAAAAATTGGAAGGAACATGTTTAGGGAGAAATAACAGGATTTTGGTTTTGGGATGTTTATTGACATCCAAGTGGAAATTTAAGGGTGGCAGTTGGATATATAAATCTGGAGTTCAGAGGAGAGGTCTGTATCGGTGTTATAGAATATAAATTTCTGTGATGATAGAAATGTTCAGTATCTCTGCTATCTAGTTTGGTAGCTACCAGCCACATGTGGCTGTTGAACTCTTAACATATAGCTAATGTGCCTGGGGACCTGAATACTAAATTTAATTTTTTTTTTAATTTTTTTTTATTTATTTGACAGACAGAGATCACAAGCAGACAGAGAGGCAGGCAGAGAAGGAAGCAGGCTCTCTGCTCAGCAGTGAGCCTGATGCGGGGCTTGATCCCAGGACCCTGGGATCATGACCTGAGCCAAAGGCAGAGGCTTTAACCCACTGAGCCACCCAGGCGCCCCACTAAATTTAGTTTTAATTAATTAAAATTATGTAGCCATATGTTGCTATTGGATAATGTATTGTGCAGTGCAGATCTAACCTACAAATATACATTTGGGAGCAGACAACGTATATAAATGGTAGACTGAGTGAAATCACAATGAGAATGAATGTAGACAGAGAATGTAAGAGATCAGTGGACTGAATATGAGACATGCCAATGATTAGAAGTTGTGGAAGAAGGAAGAACAGGTGTGTTCAAGCCAGGTAGAAGAAAAAACAGGAAACTGATTTCCCAGAATCCAAATGAAGTTTCAATGAAAAGTAAAAGATTAACTGAATCAAATGCTGCAAATAGGTTGAACAGTGTGAAGACTAAAAATTGACTATTGATTGAACCATAAGGAGGTCACTGGTAACCACAAGTGCATGGGAGGAAACCAGCCGGGGTGGGTACAAGAGAAAATTGGAAACCTTTATATATTGCCAATTGCAATGTAACATAACACAGCCACTTTGGAAAACAGTTTGTTAGTTCCTTAAAAAGTTAAACTTAGAATTACTGAATGACCCATCATTTTATGGGTCATTTAAAACATACATCTATACAGAAACTTGTACAGGAGTGTTCATGACAGCATTATTCTTTTTTTTTTTTTAAGATTTTATTTAGTTATTTGACAGAGAGAGAGAGATCACAAGTAGGCAGAGCAGCGGGGGGGGGGGGGGTTGCGGAGTAGGCTCCCTGCTGAGCAGAGAGCCTGATGCGGGGCTCAATCCCAGGACCCTGAGATCATGACCTGAGCCGAAGGCAGAGGCTTTAACCCACTGAGCCACCCAGGCACCCCTCCATGCGTGAGTTTTAAAACAGGAGTTTTAGGGAAGAGGGGGGAGATAATGACAATATGACAATAAGGACATATGACTATGACAATAAGGAGAGAATGACAATATGACAACAATGACTGCTCCACCTCCAGGTTTACTTGTAAAGAAGCATGAGAAAGAACTATCACTTGAGAAGGCTGCAGTATCAGTAAGGCAGAGCCAAATTTCATTCAGGCACAAAGGTGAAGGAAACAGTAAGAGAAGAAAATACCTGGAAGATTTTGCTGAGGAGGGTCCATGAGTTCCAGAGGACACAAAAATTCAAGATAACAATTTAGGAGTCATCAGTATAAAAATGGCATTTAGGTCTGTGGAAATTGATGAGAGCATTAAGAGAGAGCATAAAGAGAGAAGGGAAGAGGGTCAGAATTGTCCCATTAAGTTTCCCAGCATGGAGAGATGGGGTAGAGCAGTGTTTCTCAATCTTTTTTTAATTATTGCCCCCTAAGGAGCCTTTGTAGACATTTTGTCCTAATCACCCATTCCAGGAAATTTTATCTTTTATCTTTTTTTTTTTTTAAAATTCAGTTTTTTTTTTTTTTTAAGATTTTATTTATTTATTTGACAGAGAGAGACACAGTGAGAGAGGGAACACAAGCACGGGGTGTGGGAGAGGGAGAAGCAGGCTTCCCACTGGCAGGGAGCCATATGGTGCTCGATCCCAGGACCCTAGGATCATGACCTGAGCTGAAGGCAGACAGTTAATGACTGAGCCACCCAGGTGCCACCCCCCTCCCCAGGAAAATTTAATACCACAGACATACTGTATGTTTTTTCGTGTACTGTCCCCTTTGAAGGCCACAAACCATTATACTAGCTAAAATATTTTTGGCCTCTCCCCCAGGGAATCAGTTTTTGTCCTTCTGGGGGCAACATGGCTTCTGATGAAATGCATGGGGTAGATAGAGAAGAGAAGAAGTAGCCTGTAAGGTAGGAAAGAGCCAGGAGAGGGTGGTATAATGAAGCCAAGAGAAGGAGAGGGTATAGAATACTGGAGAGTCCTCTCCACGTAATTTAGCGACATGGAGGCTATTATGATCTTTACAGAAACAATGTCAGTACAGTGATGGGATGGAAATGGAGTGGTGAGTTGAAGAGCATTTTAAGGGGTGACTAAGTGGAGACCGCAGGGGCAGAT